AAGGAAAAATAAAATAAAATGCATCAGGTACAGGCCAGCTGAGCTACGTGTACCGGATGGGCTCAGGGGACGCTGGGCAATACCAACACAGACTTGACCGCTGCTCGAAGCTGTATTGGCAACGGACAGGTGCAATATAAAAGTGCTGCCGGTGTCACCTGAAGGGGAACGTACAGTTAGCACAGAGTTCCAGTTTTGCGAGTGTGTCTCTGGACAGCTGCAGATATCGATGGAGTTCAGAGAGTTGCAGAGAGCGGAAGGGAAGACCCTTGTCCACTCCAGCACCTCCCGTACATTGGTTAAGGACAGGTCGATGCTTGAGGGTGTTCCCAGCGGGCCTGTTACAGCTGCAGCAAAAACAGCGGAATCCAGGCATGCTCAGCATGTACTTGTCCAATCGTTCTTTAAAACATTCCTCTGTCTGGGCACTTACCACACATTCAGAGTCTTTAAAGTTCGGGCAAGTGCTGCCTGTGGACCGATCTGTAGCAATGTGCGTACATTGAGGCATGCCAATCTAAGAGTTGATCGAGGGCTCCAAATGGAAGCCGATGAATTTGGCTTGGCCGCTTGCTTGCACATGAGCTTGTCGACAGGGCAGGAATGACGCTACACATTCACATGTGAGTTGAAACTAAAAGGTAAAAGCCTATCAAAACAAGATGGGGAAGGGACAAGTGTTGGGGGTTTAAAACTAGGGGAGTAGAGTGTAGCTGGAACGGGAAGGTAAGGGTGAAGAAGCGTAAGAGGGGGAATAAGCAGATGGGTAGGTTTGAGCAGTAGCATCCAAACCCTATCCACCCTGCTCGATGCAGCAGATAGGGCACCGTTGATTATCCTCTGCGGTGGCCAGAGCTTCAGGAAACTGCTTGAAGAGCTATTCATTGTACTGCGGTTAGGGTACTGTCAGGTTGCCCAGGCCTAGACAGGAGAAAGATTAGGGTTCTCAACGAAAGCCCTTGGTTCAAAAACCTGACAGCAGCGGGTTGGGAGTTGGCGTACAAGGAGTCCGTTTTAAGGCATAAGGAGCCGCCTCATTCCAACCCCAAACTTGGAGGCCGAGTTTGTCTGGCCCCTAACCATTAACCAATCTGGTATGAATGGCTCTGAAGGTGCAAAAGCACCACCCAGCATAGCTCAATGTATCTCTGAAGCGCACAAACCATCGCAACACGGTGAGGTCCAGCCCCATTGCGATAGCACACGCACCAAATTAGTGCGTAGCCCGATAAACACACTTCAGTCTGCGTGACCTCGGTAGATGACCGTGTATCAGTGAACGTAAGAACATTTTCACCGCAGTTGTCAACTAAGGCGTTGACTTGCTAGAGCTTGTTTCGAAGGATACGCGAATTATTGAAGATCACCCGAATGTATTTGGTATCGCGAGCCCGGGATCGTGCGCCATGGGAAAAGGTTCTGGCAGGGGGAAGTGCACCGCCGGCTCACCACCCGAAAACTAACTGAGATCTTTTCTCCTGCTTCACGACGGGCTTCAGTATCGCACAGCCACCCGCAATTTCAACGTCTCCGTCAAAGCGTGACCTAAGTGAAACACGAGCTTAAAGGCAAAAAGTAGAGTAGCTTGGCGTACCTCTGTAGCGGACCGAGCAACACGCAACAGCCTTCTCAGTCGACAACCTACGGAGTCTGGGGAGTTTTCCCACAGTAACGCCGGAAAAGTCCAGCAGTAAAGTTTGTTAGCGCATATCTTAAAGAAATGAAGATCACCTAACATATGCTCCTTTAGAAGAGCAGCATGACTTAGTGGCGATACTGAAAATAACACCGCAATCAGTATACGAGTTTGAGCAACGCGGACTACTTATCACACGCTCTGCTAATCGTCAGTGCAATCATTTGCATCATACATATGTATCCTTGCTTGTCATCTCGGTACTATCGTTTCTGTCAATTTCGGTTCGCTTCCTGTGAAGACGTGTTCACCGAGAAATCACTGATGCACAGTAATAGCTACAAACGGAAGGGGCTGGATCTGCAGCAAACTTAGGTTAAGCTCACGGCGTTAAGAATTTGCCTTCTTCAGAATAGTGAGGTGGGGGACAGTGCAACGGTTGCATCCAACAACTCCGCCCTGAAGTGGGGATAAGCATGGAGCGTCCGATCCGCCAAAAGAAACGAATGGATGATGAAGAGTGTTTTGATACATGGGTGGGATTTGATGCTCAGCTGATACAGGAAGTGCTACTTGTCATAGACAGGTTGACTGATGAAATGTCGTAGATATCAGGAAATTCATTACGCGGAAAACAAATGTGCATTGCTGACACTGTTAAATCTCCTTGATGATAATTATGATTTTCCGCTTAGCGAAGATGAGGAAGACATAGAAAAGGAGGAATTCTTTACCGAAAGGCAGTATTTTGTGAATGATTCAGGTAGCGATAAAATCAATGTAGCCTTTGATCTTTTGAGGTTCATACAGAAATAAACACCTTGGGGAAGCGCTGCACCGAATGTAGCGATCTTGCTTTGCATCATTCTTACCTGAGCTATTGACACTGCCAGCTATGAGCGCACATTATCAAAACTCAAACTCAGCATGAATCAAACTAGGCTCAAGAACTTGGCAGTTCTCCTCATAGAGGAGGAAATTGCCGCTGGGATGAATTTCGCTAGTGTTATCGATAATTTTGCCGCAAGTAAAGTACGAAAAGTGTGTTTATACCTGTTGTACACGAACGTTATAACAATACAAATGTCGACACTTCAACAGCACTCTAAAGTTATATCACGGTGTTGTTCAACGAAACAAAATATTGAAGGGTTGTTCGCAATTTTGAGGTTTACGGAGTTACAACTGCCATGGGGCGAAAATCATAGACTACCCCGGGCGGCAAACGCAGTTGTTAAGCCGCTGCACTAGCTTCATGGACTTCAAAGTCCTGATCACCAGAACAGTTCGTGGCAGTCGGTGTAGCAGTTAGTTTTGCCGCCCGAAGTAGTGATGACATTTTCGCCTTGACTAAGAGCAGAGTACGCGCGTGCACTCCACACAATCGGCTCAGGATAAAGTGCACATTTGTTTTCGATGAAATGTATGGTGGTTTGGGACAAAGGTAAATGTGGTGAAAGTGACCACAATGGGACAGGTGAGGGGATTGCTGAGAAGAACGTTCGCACATGTGTGACACGGCGCAAACGGACTATTGCTCATAAGGAATAACACTAAAATCTTAAACTCCCAAGTTATCAGGATATTTTGCCCTTTATATTTGATATCGAACAATCGACAGTACTAAAAACGCCGCTCCCGATAACTTGCCATCAGGGGCGGACAGCGTCTTTCCTCCTCCCCCCCCCTAAATGCTACTCCTCTGGTTCGTGGTTAACTTGTGCTATCGGAGAAAGCCAGTAGTCCGAGCTGATGCCTTGTGCAACAGAGCGGTTGCTAAAGTACTCACGTTGAGTAGAGAAGACAGTCCACTACTGAAACTTAAATCAATATTTCCACATTTTCATACTTTAATACCAATCTGAAATTGATGTGCAATGGACCATTCGATAGATAACTATATGACACATATATTCAATTCTATGATTATTTTAGGTAACGCGCCCTCGGTAAATTACTTATTATGGTGACTATACTTGAACGCTCATATGTGAACCCACGGATTTAGCTGTAGCTTTCGGCTGCACTGCGCGTTACGGTGTTGATCATCATGCTATGAGATCCTGATTTCTTCCTCTGGAGAAACACATCCATTCAGCTATTAGTGCATCGGCTGTATATGGGTTATCACCGTCTGTAATTTTGTCTACCTGAAAGGAGCGGTACAGTTACCTGAGGAAGGATATATTGGACCCTTGAAAAATATTAAAATATGCATGCGGCTACTAGTTTTCTATCTGATAGATCTACTCCACCTACCTGGTACTGAGTACACCTGCTTCAACGCAGCCCATGGTAAGTCGCAGAGCAAAGGACGAGACTTTACGAACGAGATGTAAAATTACCACATTGTCTAATCATCGCCATATAGTCATGCTTACAGTGACGTACCCCGAATGTCTCGCGAATAAAAGTTTAATTTATTTATTATACACGACATCCCGCAGGCACCGGGCTCGAATGTCTGCTATCTCTACCTAACGAGATAAACAAGTTCGATGCCGGTCATGAACTGCAATGTTTTCGGGGGGGGGGGGGCAAGACCCATTATTCATCAGCGTCATCAGTTACGGTCATAGTGACCGAATGGATCAAAGTTCCCTCCATTACGGGTCGCAGTCCACGTCGAGATTACGCATTGCAACCCGTTCACACAACCAGTGATACAAAACGACCTATGCAAATCGTCATTAACCGTTTTGACACAAGGGTTTCCCGTCATGCCGCGGTAGCTAAAGTGGTAGAAGTTGCAATTAACAAACCAAATGCCCTGAATTCGATGCCTGTAATCTATACCTGATGAGATCGAAATCGGTCCTGAACGGCAGCGTTTTCGAGTGGGCAACACCCAATATCCATTCACTTCGGTTACGGTTTCAATGATCGAATTGACCAAGGTGAATCGCGGTCCACACATTAGGATTGCGGGTCGCAATGCATTCACACACAACACGTGCTACATATGACGCCTCCATTAAAGTATGTACCAGGTGAAAGCGCGGATACCTGCAATTGTCTGCAGGCACTTGTTAAGGTGGAACTTGTTATCTATCGCGCAATTCAGAAGCCCGGTATTGACAGAGCTAAACAGACGTAGAAATTGGCACAAATATACATGATTGACCAAGGTTACTAAATGCGTTGAGTCGCGTCTCCATGACATCCTGTTAGCCTAGTAACACACAGAGGAGTAAGGTTAATATATCGATTTTTAGTAGATGGTTCGATTGGAGAGGTTGTTTAAGAATACAGGTGCGCAGTGAGCCAAGAGAAATTCATGTGATAGAAAATTGTTGGTGCATGTTAAATGTGATTCGGTTGAATATCAGATCTAGTCCGAACGGAAGTAAATCAATAGGCTCACCGGAATGCAAGAAGCACAGCCCTTGAGTTAGGCTCAATGCCAGCCGCAGGACCACTTTCATCAGTTGTTCCTCGGCAACCGTTAGGATGGGCGGTTGTTCGATTGCACTTTCTCGTGTAAGGGCGTAGACTGTGTGTACAGGAGCACAGGCGTTGTCTTCCGTGCCGGAGGTGTCGGAAACCAACCAAACATAACGATCCATGAGATCTCGTAGTGTGCCCAGTTGAAAAAGTTCACTGATGAACATGGCGTGTAGAATAGGGGAACCGATCGCACATTGCTTTGCAAAGTTAGGCCAGAGTTTCCCATGTTCCTCTAGGGGGTATTGAATCCAGTCGGTTGCCATTATGCCCTGAACGTTTCTGTGTCTCAGAAGCATCGACCTGTGAGCCGTGATCGTTCTTCGCCAGAGGATTTGCCCTAAACGATCGTTGGCGGCGAAAATTTTCACAGTAACTGGTTCTCCCCGCCATAGGCCTAAAATGGAAGCAACCAATTACCAGTCAGCTCTGGAGGGATGGATACAAAATGTCAAATTGTGAATCATAATTAACGTAGGAAGCCACTTCTGTCACGTACTCATCCGTAAGTCGAGGACCGTCAGAAACTTGAATTAAGGTGTTCTACAGCAACTAAATGATGCGTATGTTTGAGCACTGCAGCATATGTGACGTGTTGCTGCTGCATTTTGGGCTATAGTTGTGCTCCTGCGTATGTGTTGTATGTTTGGGATATATTCCGGCGCCATATTATGGGTCTGGGTGAACATGATACAGACATTTGGAGGATACTTTCCTTTGCTGTACCGCCACATCGAGCACTGGCTCAAGAAGACTGCCAGTCGCTGCTGATGGAGATGCAGTGCATATTTCAAAATAACTGAATTCTGGTGGCATAAATTAGCATACTGCCCAGTTGCAGCATCCGGGGTTATAAACGTTGCACTATCAAAAGACGTGAGATCATCTGTGACATGCGTTGATAGAGCGCTTGTAATCTGAGAGCCAAGTAAAGCGAACACATGAGCACTTGTGGCAATGCCAAGATTAACGTGTTGGACTGCCAAGGAACAGGCTACGGTCGCTTCCCCGCTCTGTGTATGAGTTTTGTGCTCAGATGTCCTCAAGATCACACCAGCTATATGCGTACCAAAAGAAGCATTGATTTACAGTATAACTTGGTGCTTTAAGGATGATATATCACTTGACCGTCCTTGCACCACAAGGGATCGTAAGAAATAGATTATATACTCTCGGTTTGCCCCACGTGAAAAATCGGTCAGAAAGCAGGTTGCTTACAAGTTTTCATCCCAATCCACACCGTACACTGAGTACCATGGGGGTCCTTAATATAAGGAACCGTTAAGTTCATGAGAAGTTTATGGTACACACAGAAATCAAAAATAAGTAATATTTTATCGCTCGATAGTACAATAGATTATTTGCGTATAGGGATGTATTTAGGGTAATCCATCCTAATGGTAAACCAGGTTCGCACGATTCGATACAAATACAGTTTAAAGAATAAAGCAGCAACATTTTAACTGACTGAATTAACTGAATACAAAGGTAGCAGGGACGGGAAACCGCGGTGCAGAAAGCACTAAAGCTGACACGTCTTTGAAATACGTCGCATCACTTATAACTAACCAAGTTCTAGGGACTGAAATTTGGATTCAGTTATGCTTGAGCACGGCTACTATCTTTTCTCGCTGTTACAGAACAACGCTCTATACTTGAGGCCCACTGTAGACTATTATATGCACGGTCAGGAGTCGGGGCTTGTAAATAACGCCTCTCATGGCGTCCCTAGATGCTTATGCAACGGATATTGAGCCCGCAGCGTTAGCCGACTCAGCAATGAATAGGCTGTATAGCGGGGTGAGTAATCCTATGGAGAGGGTGTCTCCGTGTTTCCATGACCAGTATATTCATAAAAACATCTTAAGAAAGCAGGTGATAGAAAGATAAGATGACCAAAACCACCAGCCCTAAATTAAACGGATCCGAAACTGGCTGTCAGGTGCGAAGTCCAGGAGGAACGATATCCGTGGTAGAACCGTATCACATAAATTTTCTGTGCGAGCTAATAAGTAACCAGCATGATAATCGCAAGCCAGTTTGTGTCGGCTAAGTTGTACCGGAATGCAGTACAGGTACGAAGAAAAATCCTAAGGATTGGCTTGCTACCAGCCCACGATTTCTGCGAACCTCTAGACTTCGCCAGCAAGGATGGGGACACTTCAATGCATGGAGCCACAATGTACTCCTATTTATGCGTTCTCAGATCACATTATTCCGGGGTAACACTTACAGGTTAATTGAGTGGATTAATATCCACTCTGCTGCCAATCATTAGTAAAATCTTCGCAAACAATGTATATATCTGTTAAAATAAGATGATCAACGTCCCTAACTGGTCGATACACGCAAAGAAAAAGAGTAGACAGTTTGTGCTAACTATCGGTTCATTGGTTAGACAATTATTCCATGCCGCTTGAACGATAAACTTACATGAAAATAGTAATGAGGGAATGGATTGTGTTGTGACGCTTTTCGACTTGGTCTATTGTAACAATACTAATAGCAGACGTACTGTGCCAGTAGCACATAAGCGTTTAGACAGGAGACAAACGTGGTGGTAGTTAGGAATGCAACTAAGTACGTCATAACTGATCAAAGCAAAAAGTAATCTCAACGTTGCGCGACGTAACTGAGCGTTAATCCGCACGCGGTTGATTTCGCTTTAACAGTTACCGCATCGACAATGGATAGAAAGTTAGCCAATTGAATAAGTGGCAAACGAAGCCATAAGTTTGCATGAGCAATGTGTAGTTATGGTGGAAAATAATGCCCACAATGCGTAAAAAACCACAGTTATCTTTGCGCCACTTGACAAAGAGATGCAAGCAGCAGGAAAATAGTGCATGCTATGACACAGACACCCACTAATGCCCCTTTGATTCAGGAGTTATACAGGTAGTTTGTCGACAGAGAAAACGTTTGCAGCACGATTTGGTCGTAAGCTCAGAAGTGCAGTAAAGTCAAATAGAAATCGCGTAAAGACCGACCACAAATTGAGACCCTAATGCGTCTACTGCATTGGAAATCGTGAATCATTACAACAGAATCTTCTGCGTATACACTTCAGTGATTGTAGATATTATGACTTCCGAGAGAAAGAATAAGAAATGTGTTACTTATGGTAAAGTACATTGCAAAAGCAGTACAAATCAAGCAGGCGAAATTAGCGAGAAAAAGGAAACCAAGTCACAGAAAAGCTATCTTCAAAGCCAATTAGTAGCAATGTAAAGGTACTTATTAGCAGCAGCGTCATCATTAGATGCGGGATTGGGTCAGTGTGACCACACTCACCCATAGATAGGATGACTAAAGGCCTCCAAAGGTGTCGCAAACAGGGCTAGACAGACCAACTGTGAAGCGAATGATTGCCACCCAGTTGCAATCAATACATGGTCATCAACTAGCAAGACTACCAAGCGGGTCTTTTTCAGCCCATCGATCTATGTGTGCACATGCACATAGACGCGGTCTGCACACGCAAAAACAGGCCCGGTGGCTGTTTTTAAAACCATGGGTTCAGTCAACTGGTCAGCCGATTTGGTCAGTCGTTCGGAGATTTCTTTCGGCTAAAATGATGGGGCTTGGTTGGAAACACACTAAATGTGTTTAATCCGTACATCAAAATAAAAGATTGGGACTGGCCTGTTGTGGCAGGGATTATAATAGGCGTATGACAAATGAGATACAAGTACCTTAACAATCAGGAAGCAGGTATCGAAACTAGAACTGTAAAGAGAATACTGCTGTTGTAGTGTAACCAAGATGAACATTTGTAGTATTCACACATTAAACTCGTAAAATACAAGGATGTGAAAGCAGCAGGTTTGTTGTGAAAAGGTGACATGTATTATAATGGCCTTTGAATCTGAATGATCTGCTTATGAGAATACTTTGTACTGTTGCCTTAGAGGTGGCGGTCACAATTAACATTCCGATGGTCCCAGTTTCGATGCCTGCTATCTCTATCTAAGGAGAGCAAATAATATCGAAACGCGTGACGGAGTGCAGTGTTTACGGGTGAGTAACGCCAAATTTCCATCAGATACTGTGCTATTGTGCACTTTTGCATGTAATGCTTGGCTCTTGTTAAAAGCCACATGACTCGCTATCATTCCCAAGTAATGGTCAAGCAGTCTACTACGGAAGACGCATGGATGAATACACTTAAACTATGCTACCTAGAAGGCGTTGCTGGGTATGATACAGTACAGAGTTGGTAACTCCATGTTATTATTGCCTTCAGAGGATTGCCTCGATCTACTTGACACGAGAGCACATCGACTAAAAATAACCCACTTCTGTTTGCCGAGTTCTCTTTGTGAAAGCTCATGGACAACTTCCTATTTATACACGACACATTGCAACATTAAATAAGTTCCTATTAGGTCTTGTTAACAACTGCGAGCAAAGGTTGTTCTTTTGCATGGTGAAGGCTTTAAAAGTATCAATGACTGTTTCTGAGAAGCACGAGGAGACTTACTGAGCTTTTCTTCACTATTGCTCTCAAGCGAGACATCTTGGAACAGTCAAATAAGTTTCTTATCCGGGCACCTAGAAAGATTGTTCTCGTGGACGCTAATGAAGAACGACTGAGTTTAGTCAACGGAACGTTTGCGCTTGATGGTAAAGCGCACACCAGAACGCACACAGTGAAAGCCTAACTCTGGTTCACCAGTTCCGGTAACCTGTGCCTGACATGCGATACGACATATGTTTTCTGCATCGAATCAGCTCGCTCGACATCACGTACTGTCGAGCAAACGGGGAATTCCAGGCAGAGTGACACATCTGTGCCAATCACTGCTGAATGCTAATGTTACATTTACTATTCTTCGTATCCGGGGCATGATATAATGTGCGGGCTGAACCGCCTGTGCAACTTTCAGGAATAACATATACAGAAGAATCTGCAGTCCAACAGCGCATGTAAGTTAAGTCCTTGAAAATTATAAAGCATGAAGAGTACGTCGAACGTGCAGCCGGTCTACAATGCGACTAGTGGGACGGAGGTTCTTTATTTATGTCCCTTGGTTAGGATCCACCGTAGAGCCCAACTGAGAGCACGTGGTTACCATATGCTTCTCCACAGCTGTTCAGTTCTCTTCGATATGACCAGCTGAATAACAAGCATGGCATTTAGCATAATGAGGCAAATTTTGACCAATTCCTTATTTCCAGGATTAACTTATGTTAATGAGAATTATGCCGTAGGGTTTCGGTGTCTAGCATAAAAATGAGGCGTTTACGCATTTAGTAACAAAAAGTGAAATGCGTTTCCATACAACTGATAACTTAGTCTAGAAAACAAGTGAAGTTTAATGGATAATGGTACTATTAACAACGCTGTGGCAAATGTTCTAGAGGAGCTCATTAAGGCACTTCTAAAGATTTGAGCAGATATTTACAACAGTGAACTACAGTTATTAAGCGTAGTCAAGGAGAATGAGGACTTGTATTGAAATATATCGACGCAGAATTGTTGCAAAAGGTAAAGGAAACAGTGCACCTAGAAATATATCGCATCACTTACAACTTTTGCAGATGCAAGGCGTTTTGATGCAATAGTTATAAAAATAACCAAAACTCGTACATCTGAGTAAGCTTTTTAACAACGAGCAGAATTACATCTGATCAAACCACCTGTGAGCTGAATCAATCAGCCAAACAGCCAAAACCGAGAAAGCGTTTATCATGGACCAGGTAGTGGCAGTGAAATTAGCATAGTTTTGTAAGTTTAATTTATACTTCACCTCCAAAGGGCCCAATGAAAATATAGAGCATATGGCTTGACAGAACTATGTTCCGTATATATTAAAATAACACGCCATAAATGCTTCCTTCGTTCAAGTAAAATGAGCGAGAAAAACAAACAACAGCACGGTTAACATTGGTTATATTTTGATAATGCTGGTTAGACTGCTGGACACAAGAGCTGCAGCGAAGATCATTCCACGAGAATGCCTCATACGTAAGTCACTAGTGCAGCTTTTATCTAACAAACAAAGATAATACTGTAACTGATACAGTCTAAAGTAAGATACTTTACAGGATGGATAGCCGCCGTTATTCCGCGGTGATTTCCACTTTAACCTTGGGTATATCTGCATGGTTAATTAAACAAGACGAGGAAACTGAAAAGTCATTTGGCACTAGGTATACATATCAAGGCTGTTTAAACCATTGGGCTTTTAACCTCAGGATATAAATTTTCGCGTACATGCTTCTTTTATTAGTGTAAATGCAAAGTGTTCACCCTATCTCAGGCAAAGATAAAGCCGATTAGTGTAAAAAGGCCGCAGAAATACGCAAGTACACGGTACCAACGCTTTGTTGCCGCGCAACACCACCAGTCATGCGTAGGCTAAAGATACTGCAAAGGTCGCCCGGTCCTATATGAAGGCTTGAACCCGCGACCACTAGACTACAAGGCAGGCCTGTGATTCATAATGCCCCAGACCTGTACGTTTCTAGCATTTTTGGCAGTTAAATAGAATTAAACGTAATGATTGTATGTGAATTATATGTGAGAATTTATGATTTGAATGTAGTTTATGATTTGTATGGGATAAGTTCTGTATATTTCAGTAATGCAGCGTACATTATTCATCATACAGTGCTAAGCATTTGGGTTATCAATAGTCAACGTGGTCTTGAAAATTAACTTACGAATCTGTCAATTCTAAAATAAAGCATCTTAAAAATGCGTTTAGCGCGAAACAACGTCACTATCGATTTTACACCCTAATACCATTAAATTGCTATTCGTAATACCATCTATGATAAGTACATCTTATGCTGATTTCTATGTAAAATACTCAATTTCCTACAAACACAATTATAATTTTGAATAAAGACGCGTAAAATTGTTGATTGAAAAAATAAGTCTATTTGGGTGTACTCACTTCCAGGATAGGCTGAACTAAGTTTGCTCAGTAACAGAAAAACTTACGTGGCTTGCTTACCAAACCAACAGTATGTCAGTTACAATGTAAGTTTGCTAGTTTTTATCGTTCAACATGACCATAAAACCATGTCGTGTTGAAGCTGCAGTTAAACATCGATGGCAAGAAGGGCCAGGAAAACGTGCTGTGTAGAATCGATATATAATATGTATATTTAGCTGAGGATTTGTATTTGTCATAAAAATATGAGCTATATACACAAACAGATGCATTTTCAGCACGTACATTGTCACTGCATAAATATTGAATGACGGGATCAGTTAAACATATATAAATACAAAATGAAAAACTAATAAGACCAAAATGTGTAAATGTTATGCAGCGATCCGTCTGTGGAACGCATTTAGGCTGCTCTTTGGGTCAGAAGGAAAAAGCGACAACTATTTTAAATTATGTTAGAATATAAAAGAGCAAAATATAATAAAAGCTTAACTCTTGAGCGCGCAAGTAAAAGATAATGTCCGTGTGAGGTAGTAAGCGGATAGAAACGATCCCTTATGACCTAAGAAGAACAACTTACGCAAGCGTCAAAATACTTACGAATAAAATCAAATAGAGTGCCTCTAGGTAAGCCGCTACATATAAAAATATGTTGAAGCGATCGCACAATCCAAACAAAGTTCATCTACAGTATTCCGCGGAAACTTACAGGGCAACGATACAAACAGTGTTGCAGTCTACCCGCAGTTACAGCGCCCAAAATTAAGCTTTGCTGCTTGGAGAGATTTTTAAGTTGGAGAGCATAAAATGATAACCTTCACAAATGTTTCCATAACTTGCGTGGACCAATTGAGGTGTTGCGACAAACAGAGGAAATATTTTACAGTGGATGCAAGTGAGGTAGTCATATCCTCCAAAGGTATTAGATCAAAGACCCCAAAAATTACTCGCAACTTATCAGTGACAATAAGTGAGTCGTTACATCAGTACATTTTAAAGCATTACATTTATGGGGCATGGAGGATGTTCAACCAACAAGTTTGACTAAACCACCTCTAAATGTAGACAACTCAATGGCGACAGCCCTGCACCTTGAGACTATTTCGTCAGCACATTTGCATCCAATGAATGTTGGTGTTATGGGAAGACAATCGACATATAAAGAGGATAAACGTGTGAGAACATCACGCCGCGCAAAACTCCGCAGTCAGTGCGGTGCATAGAGAAGCTTTCGCCGGTAAACTGAGTACAGTGCGTACGGGCAGAGAAATAATTATGCAACAAGTTGAAAAGATCAGGCATTCTCCGTCCAATTAAAGTGAGTTGAGCAGCACAGATCGGTCAAGACACGTGCAGATATTATAATGGTCAAGAAAAAGAAGTCGCAGGGATCTGCAATTTTTTCCAATGCAAGCAATATTGAATGCACGACTGTAGAGCGATGGGATCCAAATGCAAATTTGTAAACAACACCAGCATAATAGGTCTTGGAAATCATCGATACTAGTAGCATTTTAAGGAATTTTAAAAGCACAGATACCAAAGCAGTTGGCCGATACGTTCGCGCTTTTTTTTTAAGAACTAGCGATATTTTGGATAACCTGCAGATATCGGGGGGATGCCGATCGTGCGATAATAGTTAAAAATATCAGTCAAAGAAAACTTGAATAAAAACGCACTGCTTCAACACCAAAGGTAATAAACCATCAAGGTCACTAGCTCTATTCGATAGTTGCCTTTCCGTTTTCCGTCAAAATCCTCTTGATCAAATAGGGCGACTGCGCCTGAACTGGTGAGGGAGGGCAATAGAATAGCGCTCAATGGAAAATAAAACTGTTTGTCTTATATATTAGAAATCTTCTAACGCTTTACCAAAAACCTGTAGCTAGTAAGTAGTTTAGCATTAAATAACAAAAGCTTTTGTATCATTTTCACTTTCATAGATTTAGGACACTTGTCATCATAGAGACAGTTGTAAAACAAGATGAACAAACCTCAAGTACGATAGGCAGATGACCGTCTAACAACTTCCGTTTGAATTAGCGTTGTTAAATGATTTATTCCAAGATCACAACAATTCAATAAAGTAACGGACATATTTATCACATGGATTTTTATACTCACCCATCCAAACATCCGAAAATCGGCCGCGGCCAAGAAAACATCTAAGACAAACTTGTCTACTGATTGCTCGCTGTCCATAGCGTGTCAATTCAGCTTTGTGATTTTCGGCTATTAATCCATCGAGCGAACTCCCCAAAGTCCTTGTCAGATTCGAAGATGTTGTATGTGGTTGAGAACCATAGTTGCGTTTCCGGCTGGCTTGCATCTTCCGCCTCACACATAAAATAATGCTTTTTGTTGAGGTTGGTCTTGGTTGACTCAACCAACTGTTAGTTAACAAGGATGATGGAAGATGTCTACAGTTGTCACGGTGGCCGTGCGGAGAGGGATACCACAGGTGGGTCTCAAGTAGGCGAAGCTCCCCTTTCCGTAGCTTTCGTTTGTAGCAGTAGTACACTCCGACGCACAGAAGACCAAGTATCATAGCGATCACTCCAAACGTCGTAATGAAAATCAAACTAAAAATGCTTGATCGACTGTGCTGAAGAACCCCATTTGGTACGTGAAAGCCCTTAGAAGGGGGACTGTAGATAACTTTTCCGCCATTTAAAAGATTTGGACCAATATTAAGTCCAGGATTTAAAAGAGTTAGCTTGTTAGAATAGGCAACCTGGTCGTTTGTGCGCCAATTTTTAACTGCTGCCTCAAAGGCATCTCTTGGAGTAGGATGATGGACGAACTTTGGTGAGAGGTGAACATTGCAAAAGTCCGATGAATTACAACAAGCAATTGTTTTTGGCACCAGATGGTTCACTAAGTGGCCGTTGCATGAGAGTGTTACCTGAGCATGGGAAGACAAACATCCATAGCGTATGTCAAAATATACATCCGACTCAAGTATATCTTGCTGTGTTTGTAGCGAATCAGCCTGAACACCTTCAATACGTTTACTTTCCGTCGCATTCTCTAAATCGAAAGTACTTCTTTTAGAAAAAAGAGCAGCCCGCCTCCTTTCGGGAATAGATGCCGATGAAATAGGAATGTTGGTGTCTTTTACTGTGTAACAACTGCCTTCAGTTGTCGTTACGCAGTGACCGAATTTGGGTGACTTGGCTGTCAAGTTCTCCTGCAGAAGCGATTCCGGCAAAGCATTCAGTACACAGTCGCTGTTGTCATTGCACAGACACAAGAGTTTTTTGGACACCATCGTACTTTATCGGCTACATCATTTATGAAACGGAAACAGCACTCAAAGACTGAACAAGCAGTCCAAAATGTGTCTGCATGTACAGATGTAACCACTAGCCAAAGTATACAACTGGAAACGCTTAAATAGAATTCACGTAGTATTTCGTGCGTACCATGATTGATGACACTAATAAACGCATTTGCACAGAAAGGAGCTTCTATAAACGGACTAAAGTGCAAAGGTGGCACCAAAGTCTATAGTTGAAGCGGAAACTAGTAGCAGTTTTTGAAGAGCAGCGTAGATCCAATGTAGAAATAAATCTTTCTAATACACGTTCTTCTGAAATTATGATAATCCAGACGCTTCCATTTATCTGCTGAAAAATTCAATGTTGTTAGTGAGCGCTAGGCAAATGTAAAGAAATGAGCTAGAATAGTGAGAGCAACTTATGGCTAACACTAAACAAATCTGGCCAATAAAATACTAATTCACACTAATTTAAATTGAGAGGAATAAGGCAACAAAATTTTAACATCAGAAATTTTCAGAAAAATTTGAGTTTAAGCAGTGATATGGCAACACATAGTTCACAAGACAGGTACGACTAGTACAATTAACGTAATATTTTCAACAGATGTAAAGTAAAGATAATTCCGAAAGACGTTTATTAATTAAGCAAACACGATCCAATATTGATCATGGAAGCAAGGGAGGTTAGAGGAAAAATAACATGTAACCAAATGTAAACTGATCAATAGGATACTAAGATGCAATAATAATTTTAGTGGGACATAAACAAGCTTAGTAAAAGCACCCATAAAATGAGTAAACTTTATCATAGATTAAGGAACATTTGAATCAATCATGCGCAGCTTTTAAAAAAAGCGTTACGATTGACGAACATTAACTTTCAAGTTATTGATGGCTTATTATATTTACGTTAATGTGCTATGCAACCTTTTACTAAACCTCTTAATTAACTTAGCGTAACAGTAAGATGGCGATTGTCATTAATGGAATGTCGTAATGTACTACAAAGCTTAAACTGCTTTTCGAGTGAAACTACGGTATTCAACCATTTTACATTGCGTGCGTAATAGACAAACACAGAGGGCGTTTAGATCATAAATATTGGGGTAAGGATTAATTACATGATGAGCTAGAAACTGACCTTAAGTAAACGCCAATGTTAATTGACACAACACGGAGCTATCGTGAAGTGCAGATAATTGGTGTAATAAAACAATGTAGGTGACTATCATGGGTTATAGTTTAGCAAAAGGTAAACTTATTGATTTCAGTAAGTTATATATTTATTTACTATTTTAGTAATCCTGTCAAGTGACAAAAAGTACAAGTTAGATGAGGTCGAAATGCAGCTTGATTAAAGTGGATGACCAACTGTTTCTTGGTAGAAATCATTATGGCTTCGAAAAAATAAACGCCGAAGCTGCTAAATTTAGAATTACTCACCTTGTCCTTATACAAGCCTGTAACAACTGCGCTTCGCAATATAATTCTGTCATTGTACTACCACTGAAAGTCTCCCCATTACTGGGGCCCATCTATTTACGTATTTCTTAAGAAGTTATCAATTTCTAACGGTTGTTCAAGTGTGCCCTACTCCGGGTATGCGTAGGCATGACCCAGTGGGTAAGGATCGAATGCAGCGAGATCGAAAGTTTTGCACATCATACACATGGATGCACTCAGGATTTAGGATGCCCCCAGGTGCGCCACAAGTAACAAATGGAGATTAAAAGCAAGGTAGATACTTCGCGGGTTGCTGGATGGCATTATGACAACTATCCAGTAAGATACCGCACTAAATGAAAGCACTGGGTCAACAGTGTTTTAAGCGATAATAGGGAAGCAAAAAGCAAAATAAACAGTGACGGTTACCTACTAAGGGAGCAGCGATTTCTTATTTTTCAGTGTGTGACAAGGATGCTTTAAAACCCAATGCAGCAGTAATGCATATACTAAGTGTTGTTTAGCAATATCAATTTAGTCTCACTCTTTTTTGGACAAATTTCATTTTTTATTTGTTACACACTGTCATCCGTTGCGGTTTCGGACCAATAACTGAGTGTCTTTTGCAGTACCTCTCAATTTTTAACCGCTCTGTTCGTTTAACCCGGTTGCTCTTTTTATTGACCCCGTAGCGATGACTACTGATCCGTTCTATGTGTTGGTTATTTTCACCTTGAATATTTTCAATTCCACAGTAAAATATTACTTTCGGAGCGCATGGTCAATGTTGGACCTCAGGTTTTGTGAATTTCGAAGTTTGTGCACTTCGGGACAGTGCTACTTATAGCACTGTTGTTTTGCTGCTTTCCAAAGACTTGCAAGTCCGGTTTGCAGCCGCTGCTAATTCCAACTTTGCTTTGGTTTTAGAACAGTTTGTTGCGCAATGCTGCTTTCCAACTGAATTCTTAACTTCCTCTACGTCAGCTGTTGTTACCAATCATACTTTCACCTTGGTGTTGCAACGAATTCGTCGCGCGCACTCTCAAGCAGCGCGAAGTTTGGCATAAATAAAGGTGCTTGCCTCGCTGATGCGCAATGCACATTTATAATGAAGTTATTTTACGGTAAAAGCTGTTGGCATGATGTGAGCTAAAACATATTCTGCAACACTCCTATTGACCTTCCGTTACTAAGCTATTCTTAAAAGGGTTCATTGCGGAGTGGCACGCGCAGAAGTATCAACAGCTTGATCTTGGAACATTTACTTCAATGTGGGCATCAGTTTTTGACCGAAGGTGCCTTCAAAGTTCGTTATCTCGTACCGGGGAGATACCACAAAGGGTTAAGGAATGGCCTCTTGCAGACGGTTGAATTTATCGTGATCAGTCTAACACAGCCAGGGCTATTCAAGCATATGATGCTGTGCAACCCTTGAATTTGCCATGGCCCTGATGATAAGTCAGCAGCCGGTGTATTGCGCATAACCAAATGCTATTTATTTGTGTAATTATCTAACTTTATATTCTTAGTATTCCTGCCTCTGTTGTCTATACAAGTTGTTTTGCTGTCTGTTAGCCTTATCACGATGTCACCTGTCTAAATCGATTTGAGAATCTAACAAACCTGCTAAATCTGTTCAACCCGTCCCACACGGCACTGTACTTGCCTACACTAGTTTTCTGTTGCATTTGTCAGTCATGCAGCCGTAATTACCTACTGCGAACTATCGTAAAGATATCTCTTTGCATCTCTGTGTTTTATTCTTGAACACCCTATAGAAGTGATCCAGTGAACATTTGCCGTGTACCGCCCCCTACCGCTGGGCTTAGATTACACCGAATTTTGGACGTGTTAACAGTGTAAGCCTAAGTAAAATGGACTAACCAATTACGCATTCCTTTCGCGGTGATTAGAATAGACATTTTACTGATAAGCAGGCTAAACGCACTAACATGGTTTTTGCCTGTCGTCTTGTGGGCTAAGCACACTGCTTATGTAAAGTTGCCTGTAAGAGTACAGAGTTGCCGGTAAGCGCGAATGACAGCCTTGCTATTAGTTTGTGCCTTTAATTCAAACTAGGTGACGCACAGTAACTCTTTTCATGGGACGCGTAATATGGATGAACAAATGGAATTGTCGTTACATAGTTCCCTCCTTTCGCCTTGGAACAATATAATTGAGGCCCTCGTTCACCAGTTCACCAATTTATGAATGCATTTTTCCAATACCCCTGCATTTTGTTGAAGGGTTCGAAAGCGCTTATCTCTCTTTGGATCATGCGCTTTGCAGCACCTACTTCCTGCGCCGTAGTTGTTGTCTGAACCACACCCGAGACGTGATGTAAGAAGGCACCTGTAAATTATACAAACTGAACAAAATTACATAGTACAAGGAACTAGGTTCCACTGTATGCAACAACCCTTTTAATAGCGTTTCCCGATGCATTCCAGTCAGTGTGTCTGCTTGGTTGCCTCTTGTTCCTTGTTGGATTTCCCTGAGATTTTCAAAGAAGGTGCGGTCGGCGCATAACGATGCATCACCTGGGAGAAACTGATCCATCCTCAACAGCCAGCTTCTTTGAAACCATTGCTGTATTTTCCGACGCTTCAACATACAATCATCATTCCGATGATTCTGGTTACCTTCCGAAAGAATCAGCATTTTGGCACTTTGGAGAGAAGCCGCATGCACGGGGGCTAAACAGATTGGTTTACCACGCCCCCCAAGCACACGGCCAGAAGTTACTCATTTGGACTGTCTTTACCTGGATCCCACTTTTCACAATATCTTTACTTGTCTAGGACAGAGTTGCTGCCTTTTACTGGGGTTCGAACAATTAGGCTCGGCGTCTTATCTTCCTGCAAGAGCACTTTAACACTCCTCTTACCTGCAGCTTTTCTGATGGGCATATTTTGGAGACATTACTGGACAGGAATACAAGTTCACTTGACAATAACAAACCTGTAGGAATTTTGCTCCCCTTCTGTGGACAAGTTGTGCTGTTTACGTGGTCTAAACTCAGGAGTTCGGCCCTAGTACTGTGATACACAAATCATGGTCCGAAAGGCCTTAAGGGGAACTTCCTGTGGATCCCGCGTTTGTATGAGCGATCGCAATCTCGCCTGCTGGGACGAATTTAGCCCCAAGGATCCACTGCACTCTCCACCTGACATGTCCAGTGTGAATACCTTGACCAGTATACCACAAAGGGAAAGCCAACCTCCATTAATACGAAGTTTTTATCCGCTTGCGCAATCCTTCACCCGACTTTCCTGGACATATCATCGCTTGACCGGTTGCAATGAAGCATGGCGGACCTAGACTAGACAATTAGGTTAGTCAGCGCAGGGTATTGGAGCCCCCATGACTGCGACTAGCCGGGTGTATCTTCGGTCGGAAATGTACATTGCCAGTATACAGTACCGTTCAAATACTTAAATAAATTTTCAGGTATATTTCTGTGCTGGCTAGAGGCTGCCCCTTAAGAGTTTTGATCAGTCTAACGGATTGACGGCAGTGTTGCAAGACGTGTTGGGGTTTCGACTGGCAAGCGCTACACCTATAAAATGCCACAGGTGTCCGCTTAACCACCCTTCGACTTGGCGAATTTGTCCTGCCATCGAATAAATTCCCTGTTTAAAAGGGCACGCTGGCAGGATAACCAGAGTGACCTTTCACATTATTTCAGTATATTTTGGATTTGTACACTACAAAGACACTTC